TGCAAAATAATTCCATTTGATGTCAATAATATGCGTGATAAAGGATTTAGTTAAATGTCAATAATATGCATAATCGAGAAATTCTTGAACAAAATTTGCGTGTATCTAAATTTTGTCTATTTTTCTTAATTATAAATATCATGAATAGAGTTTATTAAACAATGATTGAAATCTAGAATTTTTGTTATTTTTAATAGGTATCAGCATATCGTATAGAGTGCTAAAATGTTGTGTTGTTAGCAATTATTAACACGCTAATTGGTTATTAACACGAGGGCTTGCATTACTTGCGTTGCCCTTGGGAAGTTATCTGGTTGTTTATTTATATGCATTTGGTTCTTTATTTGTTGCACATTGTGGTCCACTAATAAAAAGTTGACATTGTGATTAGGAAGCATTTTTTTTTAAAAAAATTTTCATGCTCTTAGGAAAGTTGAAAGGTTGTTTCTGGCGATTACATTTCTAACAGGTTCTCAAATATTTTTCTGGGGGTAATATCTGGTTGATTCATTAAGCTACTATTGCAAGAGGATTTTTTTTCATTACAGGGTAAGATTTTTAGATAGTGAAAAGTGTGCTGAGAATGGTATCGTGAACTAAGAAGGCAATCTGGGACCTCAAGATTGTCTTTTTTTGGAGTTGGTTAGAACATCACTGTTGTTAAATATTGGCCTGTAGTGAATAATGAACGCAAATATTCCTTAGCTTCTTGTGTTCTTTCTTTCGGAGGCGCGTGACCTCTAGTCAGGATTCTTTCACAACCCTAAACTTTAGCAGTTTGATTAATTTGCATAAAAAAACATGAAAATCTTGCAATGATCCAACTTAGCATTGCACATACTGGCTATATACACGATTACCTTTCAACTTTGCTGAAACAAACTTACACCAAAATTCTGTCTGGATCTGTGTTGAAGATACGTGTTTTGTAGTAAAGCAACTTCAAGATTTTCAAAATGACGCAGAAACAATTATTTTTGCTTCAAATGTTCATGTACGTTAATTACCGGAAATGCAGGTTTGTTTGTAACCACATGAGTGAAGCTTATGGCACTGTGAAGTAAATGTCCTGACATTACATTCTTCTGTTAGAATGAGAATGTTTTGGAATGGGGAAGAAGCGCTTGAGAAATTGTCCTTCTAGAGGTATTAGACAAGTAAATCATATTAGTTTTCTCTTATCTATCTTGTTTTTGTGTATGGAATGTTTGTCTCACCTTATTAATCTCATTGTGCATCATCAAAATTGGGTCTTTTAAGCTTGTCAGTGAGACCAAAATGTCAATTAGATTACTCATGCCTCATGTTATGTTTGGACGAAGTAACTTAGATAATTCATTTATTTGAAGAATTTAAAATTTTTTACACTAAAATGACTTTTTTGGACAAAGTAATTAGAAATTCAAATTTAATGAATTTTGATATGTATTTCAAATTAATAAAGTAGAAGGATTTCAAATATCCTCAAAAGTATAGAAATTTTAAATTTCACTTTTCACTCTACTCAAGAAGGTCGAGTTGAGTCAACAGTCAACTCCATTTGAATTGAACATTTAGTCAAGTCAAACCAGATCGAAAGTTGAGTCAAGTTGTCTTGGGTTGTAAGTTCAGTTGAGTTGACTCGATGAGTCGAGTTGGTTTGGGTCAAATGTTGAGTTGAGTTAATCTGGGTCAAATGTCAAGAGGGTTAAAGGTCGAGTTGGCCAAGAATTTAAAACAATTAAA